GCCCCAAGAGGCCCCCAAGAGGGCCCCAAGAGGCTTCGAAAAGGGCTTCAAAAGTGCTCCAGTAGGACTCCCAAGAAGGCCCAGAGGCGCCAAATAAAGAGCGATCGGTAACGCAAAAAGCTCTTCACACCAAGGCACCCAAGAGCAAACGGTGACGTAAACAAGTTGATCAGACCAAGGCTCCCAGCAGAGAGCGGTGACGTAAGAAGTTCCTGACACCAAGGCCCAGCCAAGGCTCAGGAACGTGCGGCAACGCAACAATCTCTGAACACCAAGGCTCCCAAGAGCGAGGGGTGACGTAACAAGCTCTCAACGCCAAGGCTCCCAGTACGAACGGTGGTGTGCGTAATTTCGGTTTCTGTTTCTGAAGCGCTCTTTCCGTTTCTGTGCCGGCCCAGGTAACGGAAAGAGCGAGGCACGATTGATGACGTTGTGTTTGGGCGAAGCACTCTAGGGAGGGGTCCAGGGGAGAGGGGAGGGCCAGAAGGATGAGTGTTAATGGCCGCTCGGGGCGTCTTGGAGGCCTCTTGGGCGCTTCTTGGGCCGTCTTGGGCGCTCAAGACGGTCCAAGAGGGGTCCTGTCCAAGACGGCCCGAGTTACCTCCAAGACGGCTCAAGATCGCTCCAAGAGAGCCCAAGACCGCCCAAGACGGCCCAAGAGGCCTCCAAGACGCCCCAAGAGACGCCCAAGGGGCGTCCCAAGAGGGCCCCAAGAGGCCAAAATCATTTTTTTCTTGTGGAAAACCTGCATTTTGAGCATGCGCGACTTTTCGGTCTCCACGGCGTCGACGACGGCCCAAGATACCCCAAGACCGCCCCAGGACGGCCCACGAGGCTCCCAAGAGGCCCCCAAAACGGCCCAAGAGGGCCCCAAGACGGCCCAAGAGGCGCCCAAGACGGCCCCAGAGGGCCCCAAGACGGCCCCAAGAGGGTTACCTCGAACCGAAAAGTCTAGCCTTTCGCCCCAAGTCGCTCCCAGGAGGCCCCAAGAGCGCCCCAAAAAGCCCAAGAGGCCCCCAAGAGGCGTCCCAAGAGGCCACCAGGAGGCCAAACTTATTCATTTTCTATAAGAAAAGGTATATTTTTAGCATCTACGGCTTTTCGGCTTTCACGGCGTTGGCGACGGCCCAAGAGGCCCCCCGAACCGCCCCAGGACGGTTCAAGAGGCTCCCAATAGGCCCCCCAAACGGCCCAAGAGGGCCCCAAGACGGCCCAAGAGGCGCCCAAGACGGCCCCAGAGGGCCCCAAGACAGCCCCAACAGGGAGTCCACGAACCGAAAAGTCTAGCCTTTCGCCTCAAGAAGCTCCCAGGAGGTCCCAAGAACCCCTCAAGAAGCCCCAAGAACCCCTCAGGAAGCCCCAAGAGGCCCCCAAGAGGCCCCCAAGAGGCCACCAGGATATCCCAAGAGGCCCCCAAGAGCTCCAAAAGAGAGCTCCCAGCTGAGACGGCGACGCAATAAGGTTTTCACACTAAGGCTTTTAAGAGCGAAGGGTGTTATGAGTTATCTCGGGTAAGTGCCTGAGGAGCTCTTTCCGTTTCCGTGCCGGCCCCAGGTAACGGAAAGAGCGAGGTACGAGTGCTGACGTTTTGGTGCAGGGCGCAGCCCATGGGGGGAGTGCAGAGGGGGGCGGTAGGGGGAGGGAATGGGCGTTAATGGCCGTTTTCGGGTCCTCGGGTTTTGTCTGTTTTTCGGGTTCTCCCCTTTTCCGTCCCAGAAGGGCCCTAGACGGCCCAAGAGGCCCCAAAGATCGGCCCAAGAGGCCCAAGAGGCTTCCGAGACGCCCCGAGAGGCGTCCAAGAGGCGCCTTAACAGGCCCTCAAGTGGCCCACATCATCGATTTTTCATAGGAAAATGTAGATTTTAGTATATATATACATGTATATATTACATATATATATATTATATATATTATTTATATATCTAATATTATAATATAGATACATGTATAGTTTTTTGGCTTCCACGGTGTTGATGATGGCCCAAGAGGCCTGCAAAACCGCCCCACGACGGCCCAAGAGGCTCCCAAGAGGCCCCCCAAACGGCCCAAGATGGCCCCAAGACGGCCCAAGAGGCGCCCAAGACGGCCCAGGAGGGCCCCAAGACGGCCTCAAGACGGCCCCAAGAGGAGGACCTCGAACCGAACAGTTTAGCTTTTCGCCCCAAGATGCTCCCAGGAGGCCCCAAGAGCCCCCCAAGAAGCCCCAAGAGGCCCCCAAGAGGCGTCCCAAGAGGCCACCAGGAGGCCAATATCAGTGATTTCCTATGGGAAGAGGTACATTTTTAGCATCTACGGCTTTTCGGCTTTCACTGCGTTGAAGACGCGCCAAGAGGCCCCCAAGACCGCCCCAAGACGGCCCAAGAGGCTCCCAAGAGGCGCCCCAAACGGCCCAAGAGGGCCCCAAGACGGCCCGAGAGGCGCCCAAGACGGCCCAAGAGGGCCCCAAGACGGCCCCAAGAGGGGGACCACGACCCGAAAAGTTTAGCCTTTCGCCCCAAGAAGCTCCCAGGAGGCCCCCAGAGCTCCCCAAGAAGCCCCAAGAGGCCCCCAAGAGGTTCCCAAGAGGCTTCGAAAAGGGCTCCCAAAGGGCCCCAATAGGACTCCCAAGAAGGCCCAGAGACGCCAAATAGAGAGCGATCGGTAACGCAAAAAGCTCTTCACAAAAAATGCTCCCAAGAGCAAGCGGTGACGTAAACAAGCTGATAAGACCAAGGTTCCCAGCAGAGAGCGGTGACGTAACAAGTTCCTGACACCAAGACCCAGCCAAGGCTCAGGAACGTGCGGCAACGCAACAATCTCTGAACACCAAGGCTCCCACGAGCGAGGGGTGACGTAACAAGCTCTCAACGCCAAGGCTCCCGGTACGAACGGTGGTGTGAGTAATTTCGTTTTTCTTTTTCTGAGGCGCTTTTTCCGTTTGTGTGCCGGGCCAGGTAACGGAAAGAGTGAGGTACGAGTGATGATGTTTTGGTGTGGGCGAAGCCCTAAAGGGAGGGGTTCCTGGGGAGGGGGGTAGGCTGGGGGAATGGGCTCTAATGCCCGTTTTCGGGTTTTCCCTCGGGTTTTTGCATGTTTTTCCGGTTTCCCCCCCAAGACGGCCCAAGAGCGCTCCAAGACAGCCCAAGACCGCCCAAGACGGCCCAAGAGGTCCCCAAGAGGCTCCCAAGAGGCGCCCAAGGGGCGTCCCAAGAGGGCCCCAAAAGGCCACAATCATTGATTTTCCAAGAGAAAACTTGCATTTTTTAGCATCTACGGCTTTTCGGCTTTCACGGCGTTAACGACGGCCCAAGAGACCCCCAAGACCGCACCAAGACGGCCCAAGAGGCTCCCAAAAGGCGCCCCAAACGCCCAAGAGGGCCCCAAGACGGCCCAGGAGGCGCCGGGCCCCTCTTGGGCTGTCTTGGGGCCCTCGTGGGGGCGTCTGGGGCCGTCATGCCGGCACCCCCGCCATCCCTGTCAAAAACAACTTCAATCTGAGCGCGAGGCATCCGCGCATGATCTGTATGATGGTGCAACGTGTATTTTTATTTTGTATTGTATTTTGCAATGGATGGTGGGGGATGTTGGCGTTGTGCACAGACCACCCCGCCACCCCTGTCAAAAACCAATGCAAACTGATCGCGGGGCGCACGCGCATGATTCAGACTATCGTGCAAACAGTGCATTTTGTTTTGTATTTCCAAGGGGTAATGGGAGGTTTGTTGGCCTGCGCGCAGGAAGCCATTCGCCGTCACCCCCGCCGTTCCAGTCATAACCCCCCGGCACATTTTCCAGATTTGGAGGCAACGTGTATTTTGTATTGCGTTGGGGCGGTTGGCATGGGTGGCGCATGGGTCCGGATTGGCTGCCGGTTGGGTGGGGAGGGGGTTTGTATTAAGATGGACCGGTGATCACCCCCCTCCCGACGGGGAAGAAGGGTGTCTGAAGTGGAGACTCGTTAAACCATTCACGCCCTCAATGACTGGTGGGATTATTTTTGTTTGTACGAGTTGCGAGAAACATGTCCCAATCTGAAAACACTGTGCTGGGTGATTTAGGAGGTGCCGATTTAGGATGTGCCCAACCTTAGCATCACAAGTGTAAGTAGTTGTTGCGGATGCTGGTAAGGACCTGTCATTTCCTCCAGATGTATGTATTTTTTGGCGTGCATTGTTGTACGGTTGTTTGATGGTTTCCTGCTGTTTGGTTTTCCTATGGACCTCGTTAGTACATAGGTCAGACAGCCTTCTTGTTGTAAGGGGTCTTGATGCTCCCAGTGCAAAAGGTATCTGGTTGCGTTCGGGTTGGCCAGGGTTTGGCTTGTTTCCTTCCGTTATGATTCAGTCTCATCTCCGTGATGTAGAATGTTCGTGTTGTTTTTGTTGTTGTATCAGGTGTTCATCGTGTCCTTGTTGTTTAAGGGTTTAGTTTTTGTGCCTGGTGATTGCATTTGGCAGAGAAGTCCGCTAAATGTGTATGTATGTACGTTCACGAGAGATATTCCTTTTGAAGACGGCTAGAACCATCAATCAAAGTAATGTGAAATGGAATGCTTGGGGGGGGGTAGTGGTGGTGTTGGGAAGTGTTGGTTGATTGTGTCGTGGTGGTGATGATGGTGTGTGTATATGTGTGCAGCCGGTGACTTGCCTGAGTGGGCCCGGCTTCCTCGCTCCCTGACGCGCTGGGGCTTCTCTTCCTCCCTCGTGCATCGCGGCTCTAATTTGCATACAGTGTGTCCCCTGTTGCCTGTCCGCCGAGCAGTCGCCCTCCGCCCAGCCGCCGACGCAAAAAGTGTATATGTTTGCGTCAGTGTGTGTGTGTGTGTGTGTGTTTGTGTGTGGGTGTGGTGGGTAGGTGGTTGGTTGAGTGGTCGGCGGCTATTGCATACATGTATGCTCGCACGCGTACCCACCCCCCCCACACACGTATGCGCGTGTGCATGTATGCGTCCGCATGTGCCTGTGATCTGTTGGGATATGAAAGTGTCGAATTCGATAAATGTTGGTTGTCTTCTCCATCAGGTCTTACATGCGGAACGTAGACAGAAGGGCTGGGGACCTGTCGACTTCCATGGTGCGTTCGACCGTGTTACAAAGACGTTGTATTTGAATTCCACCATACTCAAGATGCCCTCGCGGGAGTTGGAGTGTGTACTTATACAGCTAATGGCGTATTGGGTTATCCAAGAGCTCGGCGCTGGAGAGATCGATGGAAATGAGGGCTTCAGAGCAGTGAGCATGATGACAGACCTGAAGGTGAAAGTCGAGGTGAGACAAATCTTACAGCACTACAACGAGCATGGCTTCATCAAGACCCGGGAGCAGAAGAAAGCAGATAGGAAATTTGTCCCTTGTGAGTTCGCTTGGACTGGAGATGCCCTCTCGGGCAAGTATGTTATCAGTGAGTCCAGGGTAGTTCATCCAACTGATGAGTTATTGGCGACGCAGGAACCAGTTTCATTCTCTGTGCCAGTCATTCTCTCTCTCTCTCTCTTTTTCTTTCTCCCTCTTTCTATTTCTATGTCTATCTCGTTTAGTTGACGTTCGTAGAATCTCTTGCGCTTCACGTCCAGACAGTTTTCGTCTTAGACTTCAACGTCGGTGTGAAGCTCGCTTGAGGCGCAATCATAGACCCATACCCCACCTCCACCCACCTCCCAGGAGGAGGATGAAAAGGATGATGGGGAGAAGAACGGTTGTTCGTGTTTCATTGTCTATTCATCATCTTCGGTTCTTGTTGCTGCGCCCCTCCCTTTTTCAGATTCGCTGCGGGACGCGATGTGAGGAGGGTGGATCGAGGACATCAAGGGAGGAAGGACGAGGAGGCAGGAAGAGGATGGATGATATGAGGAGGGAACTGGAGAGGAGGACGAGGTCGAGGGAATGAGGTTCAGAGGAGCAAGGAGGAATGCACATACTTGTTTCCAAGATTTCCAGGTGTTCCTGTTGCCACGCGCCGCCAGAGGCGAATGGCCCAGTGGGAACGGCCGAGTGCCACTAAACAGTCTGGAATTATTGGAACGTATCCTCAGCCTCTCATATCAAGGTATTGGTCGCGTGAGGTGGGATGAAAAGGTGAGGAAGGGGGGGACTTGGGGGATGGCGAGGTGTTGGGCGGGGCTAGGACCAGGAAATTCCGTTTCAGAGCGTTCCGGAAGGCTCTCAGAGTGTTCCGGAACGTTCTGAGAAAGCCGCGGCGTCCAAGACATCCTCCAGAGCCGCCCGATCTCAGAGATTCCTCGATTTGTCCTCACCATGCTTCGCCATCGTCCTGGCTTCGTCTTCGAGTGTGCTGCCTCCTCGACCCCCTCCCGCCGGCGGGCGCTAGCGAGCGCGGCGGACACGACTGCGGCATGGCCAGCGTGGGTTCAGCAGCAGGCGGTGGGTTTTTTTGCGCATTTCGCTGCTCCGCAGGCCCGCGGGGGCTCCGGGGGTGCTCTTCTGCGGAGGCTGTCGGGGGCCTCGTCCCGGAGTCCGCCCAGGGAAGGAATCCCCGAGGCCTCCAGAGGCCTGCGGAGGTCTTCAGGACCAGGGCTGCGGAGGACGATCAATGGAGGAGGCATTCTGCCAAGCACGTTCCAGGTGATTCAACACACGGTAAACGTGTTTTCAGCACATGCAAACGCATTTCAAACACACTTTCTAGCTCCATGATAGGACTGTTGGAGTGTCAACGGCCGTGGCATCCACAGGGCCAGTGAGGGCAGGACGAGGTGGGATGGGCAGGAACGAGGAGGAGGTGGAGCGCGGGGTAGGAAGGCGGATTATGGTGGAGGAGGAGCAGGAGCTACCTGCACTGCGTTGGAGTCTGCTCTGATCGAATTCGTCGGGCCAGTGGAGCCCGCAGTGCGGGAGCCACGGCGAGACCCCCCCCTTGCGGGAAGCTGGCCCGCAGGTGTGGCGTGCCGGCATGTCATGGTCCAGCCAGGGGGAAGGAGGAGGGGGGGAGAGAAAGGAGAACGAGGAGGGGGGGGAGTTGGGAGGAGGGGAGAAGGAGGGGAAGGAGAAGGGAGGGGGGGGGAGGGGGGGGAGAGGGGGGAGGGGGGGAGGAGGGAGAAGGAGAAAGGAGAAGGAGGAGGAGAGAACAATGAGAAGGGGGGGAGAGGGGGGAGGAGGGAAAGGAGAAGGAGGGGGCGAGGGCGGCCTCAGTATGGCCTCATGGGGCTCTCCTGGGGCGTCCTGTGCGCCGCCTGGGGTATTCTCGGGAGCCTCTCGGGGGTCTCTGGGGGACTTCTTTGTATACCTGGGGGGCCTCCTGGGGCCCCCTTGGGCAGTCGTATGGCGGCTGACGCCTTCGAAGGACGTCTGGGGGATCTATCACGACCGTGTTATAGCCTTTTGGATCATCACTGATGGCAGTCTTGGAGGTCTCTTTGGCCCTCTTTGGTTGTTTTGGGGCACTGTTGGGCCTATCTACATTATCTTTTATCTCCCGGCTACTGTAGGGCTTCTTGAAGCTCTCTTCGGCTGTTTTGGGGGCCTCTCGGGCCGTCTTGAGGGGCTTTCTCGGGGTCATTTGGGACCTTCGTGCGCGTCTTGGGTCCATCTTGGGGCGTCTTGAGGCGTCTTGGAGCCATCTTGGGCCATCGCGAGTTGTTTGCAGGCTATCTGGATGTCCAAGGATCTGTCTGTGAGCTGGCGTGAGGAGGGCTGATGCGGATACGCGATCCCCCCCTTCCTCTCTCGCCGTACCATAGCACCATAGCTTGATAGGATGTAAGCGACGTCACACCGCCCGACGTCGGCATTCAGCCCCAGGACATCGACAGGTTCGTGCCGAGAGCCTCGGGCACTTCCGTGTTGGCGGCGGACTGCGAGCTGTTGGACGTCACCGTCCCGCCCCGCGTTGCAGCGGAAGCGAGACGCCAGGGGTTATCGGGAGTGGCGGCTCTCGTGGCAGGACAACTGCTAGCACGCGGCCGAGGCGGGTCTAGCTGCGGGGCCAGGCGGTGCGGGCGGCGGTCGGCCAGGCACGGGCGGGCAGCTCAGCGCCGCCTCGCGGGGGAGCGCCCCCCGTCAGGCGAGAAGGAGGGAGGCGCGCACATCGGCGGCGCCGCCAGCGCCGGTTGGAAGCTGCCCAGCAGAAGGCGGACGACGTTTTTGGTATGACCAAGCAGGATGGCAGCGGATGATCCAAGAAGAGCGGCGCCTCATGGAGTGCTTGCCAGAGTGCCAAGGACAGGTGGGAATAGGCGACGCGTGGCGGCCCAGCGTCGCAAGAGGAGGACGGCCCGCTTGGCAACGTGCCATCGCGGAGCTAAGAGGGCCAGGAAATGATCGGCGCGTCCGATTGCGACGCCGACCCTTCCATCGCCACTCCGGTGACCCCGACGGGCGCTTCTTCGGCGAGTGCGGTCTTCTTCGTCTGCGGAACAGGCGATCCAGCGGTCGGAGGATCGCGAACGCCGGGATTTTCGCTCGAACCCCCACGGGAACGGGAATGAATGCCGAGTCAGCCGATCAGCCGCGCAAGAAAAACGGAAAACACGTTCTACCATGACCAGGAAAGAGGAACACAAGGTCTTATGTTTGTTTGTTTGTTTGTTTGTTTGTTTGTTTGTTTGTTTGTTTGTTGGCTTTTCCTTATAATGCATCGCTCAGTCAGGTGCACCGATCCAGCCCTCCTCTCGTGGCGGAAGCGTTACTGACTACCTCGGACCGGCGTGGACTAGACCGTCTGTTGCCGCCTCCAATATGGCAGGAGGACAGGTGCCTGCAGCAAATTTCGCCACGGGAATGGTGCAGACCGAGCCCGACCAACCGACCAGGAACGAACATAATGCCCGCCGTCTGGATGAGACGCGACGTGCGGAAACGCCGCAAGGCGACCTTGGCGGCGACCGTGCGGCTTCAGATGTAAAAGGCCCAAGAACCTGATGCGGCGCATGTCCTTCATCTGCGCTGAGGCCAGGGGCACCCAGTACATCGAAACAGATAGTGATCAAGTCCTTGAGCCACTCCACGTGGATCTGATAGGCCCAGGCCCAGGCGCCGCGAAGGAGGGCTGTGCAGAACGACGAGTCCATGCTGTGGACGTGGAACAGGCGGGCGACGGACACACAGCGTGCCCTCGCGGACACCTCCCTCGTGGAGTGACAGGACGCGGCGTCTCTGGTTCTCTACGGTCCGACACGTAATCCGGAACGCTAGCAGCTTTCTGTGCCTCGCCAGCATGCCTACCACGACGCTGTTCCCAGTCGGCTCTGTCGTTTCTCGCCTTTGTCTGTCCCGGAGCTTCCTGGCGGACACGTTATGGCCAATCTGTCGGACATCCAGGCGGTACAGAGGATCGTGGTTTTTCCCCGGCTTGCCACAGGCATCATTATCAGTATCCTTGAGGTGCTTATCCATGCAGATTGTTTTCAGCGTTGCCTGCAGTTCCCTGTGTGCTAGTTCTACGGCCCGTTCAAGCTGTCGCTCCCGAAACATATTTTTTTTCTGCATTTTCTGCCTGGTCCTGCGTTCGGTACGCATCATGCCGAGAACACTGCGTTGGAGTTGCCGCTCCACGCCGTTCAGGCGACGTGCCAGCGGCACCGCCGCGAGCTGCTCTTCGGCTGTGCGCCTTGGTGGGGAGGCTGGCAGGCCTGCTTTCGAAAAAGAGTTTGGATGAGGAGGTCGAGCCTTGCTCGTGCAACGGGGCGTTGCCCTCACCCTGGCGCCGATAGCAGTTGCAACCGTGGCACAAACAACCGTTTTTTTTTTTTTTTTTTTTTTTTGGGGGGGGGGGGGTTGTGTCATATTTATTTATTTATTTATTTATACATATCATATATAACAATGACACCCAGGCGCGAAGGTCTGGCAGACGCCGTTGCGTTGGCACTTCGTAGTGGTGCGCCGGCCATTTTGCTTGCCGAGGTGAACGTTCGGGTACCAGAGCGGATAGGTGCTAGAAGCTTGTCTGGATCGGGCCTGTCTTTGGTAAGAGGATCAGCGACCATTTATGAATCTGGCATCCAGAGAGAGAGAGAGAGAGACAGAGGGAGTAGACATACATACCTTGTCGCAGTGTTTCTGAATCCATGAAACGACAGCGTCGCGAACTCTCTGGAACGCTGGAGTAAGATCTTCATCAGAAAAAAGTGTGGCGTAGCAGAGTAGATGTTGGTTGCGACAAACCAAGTGTCGGTAAGCAGAGCACTGAATGGACTCTGGCATGTTCATTGCTTCTTGAATCTGTCGTCTCGTGGCAACATTTACATCCGAGGCGGCTTCTGCCGAGAGAGCCTCGGCTGCCAAGGGCATGCTCGGATTGGTTTTGTTTGACGCCCACCTGTGAGTTGAAGCGCGAACTACTTTGCCTCCTCCCATTGTTTCGCCCATGCACGTGGCCATGCCGCGCTGCGGCGGAGAGCTCTTAGAATAATCGACGAACTAATCAACGCAGGTGTTCTTCGCCAGACAAGCAAGTTTCTCGTGCGCTCCGACCTGGTAGTCGGCCTCAGGGAAAG